CGCTCCGAGCAGTGCAGGGGTGTGTAGAGGATGCTGCAGGTCTGGCCGCAGCCTCGCGAACACGGCTCGTAGTGGCTGTTGGCGGGACACGAAATACCTGCCAGGAGAAGCGAAGATGCATTAGAGGCGACGAAATTTGGGGTTAGCGACCGGAGAATTTTGGGGAGGTTGGGTCTCACCAGGGGTAGGGTTTTTTTTTTTTTAATGTGCAGATTTTTTTTTTTTTTCCTATCGCTTGGCCCGTCGTAGCGGCCCACCTCGCGATGGGACGAATCGTCCCCTGCCAGGGTTTCTTTCTGTGCCTTGACTGCAAATGGAGACGAGGTGACCAATCTAGGCTTTTGGGTGTTGCAAGTCCCGCCCCGAACATGTCCGGTGAGGTGAGACGGATCCCACCTCCCTCTAGCTCCTCCCTACACCGGTTTGGAGCCAAATCAGGACACCCTTTGCCACTCGCAAGGCCGATAGATGCTTGGATGCCCAACGCGATGCAAGGGGACCCTCAAACTGGCTCTACTCACTGCAGTGATCAGCTGTCCTCCAGTTTGTGATCATCACACCAGCGGCCTGGCAGGCCATGGCGTAGCTGGTGATGAGCGGGCAGGTCACGTCCGGCTGGTCTGGGAAGAGGCAAAAGTCGTGTACGCAGCTTTGGAAGTATGGGTTGGGATCGACTTTACTGTGGCATGCTTGGAAAGGACCGCTCAGGCTCGAGATGATCTTGCAGCCTGTCCTCGAGGTCTTCTGGTGATGCAGCGCCTCTCTTAGTGTGGGGCATTCCTCCCTCGACAGCTCCACACAGCCTGGTATGTCCTTCACCTTCCAGCTGTGCCCAAACGTGTCCGGGTTCGACGTCGTTTGGCCGTTCTTCAGCAGCATCTCATCGTCGGCGTTGCCATTGAAGTTCCCGCAGAGCCCGCACAAGGCATCCACGTAGCTGCCGGGCACCGACACGGTGACCTGGCTCTGCCAGTCGTAGGTGACGGTGAGCCCCAAGTCCGTCTCTACCACTGCCTGCTGCCCGCCTCTGTAGATGGAGATCTTCCTGTTCCTGGTGCGATGCGGTAGGTTGATCAGCAAGTTATTGAGCTGGGGACAAACACAGAGAGATCAACATCTGACAGGTTGTGTCTTGCCCAACTGCAAAGATCTGCAATCTAGGATCCAGCTGAAAGAGCCCAAAGCAGTTATAAGAACAATTTTAGGGTTTATTGATCGGCCAAGCTGTAGACACCCACCAGGAATGAGATGAATACTGCACCAGGCTCCACGGCTTATGTTACGCACCGATCTACTGCTGGGTGACCACTTGGGTGCAGATCCTGGTATTTAGGCAACTAAACCTCATCTGGAATTGGGCAGGTTCAAAAAGTCCTGGTGGCTTTGGATCTTAGCAACGTGGCTAGAGATATATGTTCAGCATTATGTGGTGCAGAAGACGACTGGAGAAACAAGGTCAGGGTGAAGAACGGAAAGCAAAGAACTTGAAGATTAAATAAAGAAACGCTTGCTAAACTCACCAAGATTTTGCCAGGGTATTTCTTGCTGATCACAATGTCGCTACCATAGACTTTGACCTGCACGAAAGCGATGGTGGACAGGTGCTGGTTGTCCTGGTGGCCGTTCTGGACCAGCACCTGGAAGTCCACCAGGTCTTGACTCTTCTTGCACAGCCCGGCAAACTGGTACAGGCAGGTGCCTTGGAAGATAAACCTCCTGCCATCAAAACTCTGGTAGTGGGTCTGTCCCACCGCCGAGCACGTGCCATAGCTCACGGGGTAGCAATCCTGGATGCCATTCTCCACCCGGCACTGCTCTCCAGTGCGGCACCCGGCGTCTCGGCACTTGGCCTGTCGGCTCTTGGCGTCGCAGACGCAGCGTCTCGTGCAGGCATCGTTGGCCCAGAACTCCTCGCCGGGGGCGAAGAGGCGTCCCTCGAACACGCAGCCGCAGTTGGCCTTGGGGATGCACTTGCCGGCATCCAACACAAAGCCCTCCCGGCACATGCAGGTCTCCACGCAGGCCAAAGCTTGGCACTCAGTGGACATCACGGGGTCGTTGCAGGTGGCGGGGCAAGCGGGGCCGCAGGCTGTGTAGGTGCTGTTCTCCGGGCAGGACATGGCTGGGGAAGGGACAGGACATCACGGTCACGGTTGGGATATTGCTCCTTGGTATGAAGAAGTTCAGCAGCGCACTAAGAAAAATCTGCCTGAACTTTCTGGAGCTAGATGACCAGCGATAATGCTTTTTGGGGGCCTTGAATCTGCCTGGCTGGCACCCCACAGTATTTTTGGGCGCAATTTTGTGCATCCTAGTTCAAAACAACGGGGCGCCATCTCTCTTGGGTGATGCCCAAGGGAGAGAGCGCTAGGGAGGGATGAAAGTCCCTATTAGGGCAGATTCCCTCGGTTGGGTGCTTTCTGCTCGTTCCTGTCCCATTGCACCTTTATGCCCTATCTGTGCACCCTACAGCTTGGCCACCAGGGTCTTCTGCCAGGGGGAAGGTCAAGGAAAAAAGGATGTGATCTCACATTGGGAGGCTGCAAAACGTCATGCGTGGCCCGGCAGGGGACAAATAAACCCAAGAATTGTGGTGGGAAGAGCCCAGAACGTCACAGTTTATGAAGCCAGGGAACGGTTCAGATAACGAGGCAGGCAACTGAAACCAGGGAAGATGAAAGCCCGAACCCGAGGTGGAGGGAACTGGGAGGGAGTCTTTGAGGGGGGCGTCCACCCCCGACGCGTTTGCATCACGGTTGCAGCCTGCTGGGCGCTACTCACGACATTGCGAAGGGGTCCTCCAGTCGGAAATGGCAATTTCCGCTGCCCGGCATTTATCCGCGTAGGTTTTCAGGGCCTGACACAGCATGGATTGGAGCCCATCGTTCATGCAGAGGTCATAGACGCAGTTGTCCAGGTAGACTTTGGGGCTGACAGTGGCGTGGCAGTGCTGGAAGGGCCCTGACTGATAGGTGAGCAAGCCGCAGGAGGTCTCCGCCTTGTACTTGGCAATCTGCTCGGGGCTGCAGGTCTTGCATTCACCGTTGCAGTCGTCCCAGCAGAAGCGGTCGCCGTCGTCCACCTTCCAGCTCCTGCCCAGCTCCACAGGGTCAGGAGCCAGCGAGCCATCGGGGGTGGTGGCGTCGTCCCGTGGGTCCCCGTTGCTGTTGCCGCACATCCCGCACACCTGATTGGAGAACTTGCTGGGGATCTTCACCACCAGGTGGTGGTCCCAGTCGAAGAAGACTTTCAGCAAGAAGTCAGTTTTGATCAGCACGGAGTCGCCATTCTGGTATGCCTTGAGCTTCCCGTCAGCGAGGGAGATGGGGAGGCGGGAGCGCTGGTTGTTCACCTGGAAGACAAATCGAACGCGATGAGAAGATAAAATGCATTTAGCTTCAAGGTATGTTTCTGCAGACCACAGGTCTCAAGACATGAGACTGGCCCTGCTTTAACCCTGACCAGCCATGAGGTCGCAAATGCCATTTTCCCGCAACGCCAGAAATGCCCACGCAATGACAACATCATGAATTCATAAACAGAAAATAAATTATTCGAGTGAAATACGGCAATATTGCATTTCTTTTTTAGTTTCGCATACCCTCACGATCCCAGTCTCGCCTCTGACCACGGCGATGGTGATGTTGTAGACGCGGATGGTCACAGAGCCCACGTAGGAAACCTGCGTGTTGCCCCGGTTCTCATTCTTGGCCTCAACGCTGAAGACAGGGAGGGTTGCGTCCGAGGTGCAGGTCTTAGAGAGGGTGTAGGTGCACGTGCCCATGAAGTCGAAGTTCTTCCCGTCGAAGGTCTGGTAGTGGGGGTCGCCAGTGGCCCAGCAGGTAGATTCGGTGTCCCTCACGCACGTGGGATGGCCTTTGACCATCTCGCACGTCTCATATTCCTTGCATTCGAGGTCGGTGCAGGAAGGTGGAGAAGAAGCTAGGGAAAAGCAGAAGAGGTGGACGGTAACGAAACGCAAGAAAAGGTTCGGTGGTTCGCAAGACAACAGCTCTCCCGCTGGAGGTTTTAAGCATTTATGGACACAAGACAGCCGTCCCCAGTGGCTTGTCACATCCAAGATCTCACACACATGCTCACGCTACTTACGTGTGGCACAAAGGCCTGCAAAGCCGTAACCCACATAATTTTGGAAGCCAAAGACCAGAACCCCAAAAGGCGACTGGCTGTGCTCGATGCTATCCGCTTCCATGCTCTTGCTCATGCTGTACATGGCCCAGGAATAGTCCAAGCCAGGAATCATCCGCCAGGGGATGTTCCCGATGACCTTGTCGTTGAACTTGATGGCGCTGGTGTCCGAGTGGCGTGCTATGAGGAGGATGTGGTTCTCGAAGTTGTTCACGCTGCTGATACGGTAGGATGTGCAGTAGGTCGAGATCGGAGGGATGTTGACCAGGAAGGGGTCTTGCCTTAACAAGTCCTTCCTGGCTCCGGTAAAGAAGTAAATCACCTGGATGCTGGCTGGAGCGGTCACGTAGAAAGGGGAGTTGTGGGGGAGCTTGAATTTATGCACCTCCCCGGCCATGACGTCCTTAGAGGCGTGGGAGCTGCCCAGATGGTACGTGATGGTGGTCTTCTGAGCCGCCACAACATAGGCAAAGTCGGTGTCCGTTTGCATGGGGATGGTGGCAATGACGTACTTGTTCCCCCAGCCGGAGACGGGCAGGAGCTGCTCGATGGCGAAGTCGCAACCCGAGTTCACCTGGACACAGCTGTGCCCGCTGAGGACGGCGATGGCCTCGTCCGATGTGACCTTGGTGCCCGATAAGTCCATGCTGCTTTGCAGCTGCAAGCTTTCGTAGGGCTGCAGGCTGATGCGCAGAGTCGACCCAGGAGGATAAGTCCTGCCTCTGTAGTAGACGTTGCCTCGGACGGTGATGGAAACGGCCGCCGACTTCTTCCCAGCTGCAACGGCAAACTCTTTCATGTCGTCTTTGATGGAACTTACTGGCGTTACCACGTAATATTCGGTGCCCAGCTTCTCTATGGGCAAGACCGTCACGGCACCAGTGGTGAAGCTCTTGGAGCTCACGGTGGCTACAGAGATCTCCTTGTTGGCCTGGATCAAGAGGGTTTTATCGAAGGTGCGGCTGCCAATGAGCTCCAGGTTGCTGGGCAGGTGCATGGAGACCGTCTGATCTTTGCCAACAGAGATCGATTTCTGGAAGGTGTTCTTGTTCACCATCACTGTGATCACAGTTGAGTCATAATAAGTGGTGAAGAGCAGACTGAGGTCGGCACGGGTGTTCTCCTGGTCATTTTGCGGGAAGACAGTGATGAATTCCTTGCCGCGGAAATATGCAGTAGAAAGTCCTAAAAAGAAATGGTTAATTAGAGCTTTTTTGGTTTGTTTTTAAGTGACTCTCAAGCCAGGGTGAAACCAGGATTTCCCAGGTGGGAGGCGGTGGGGGACCTGCATGGATGTGGTGCTTTTTGGGTCTTGATCTATCCAGAGCTTGAGGGGGATTCAAAAGTGCCAGGGCTGAAAGAGGAGGACGCTAGGGCACAGGGACACCCCACCAGCTCCTGGCTTGCAGCTAAGCCTGGGCAACGGACGCGAAAGTAGGGTTGGGGCTGGTTGCTCACCGCACACGAGGGCCAGCCAGGCTGGGAGAAGCAGCGTCTTGCCTGTCGCCATCGCTGGAAAACAAACAAACAAACAAAAAAAGCAACAGGGGGTTAAGCGTGGGTCTAGCTGGGAAGGCGTTGGGCTACCGAGGGCTGGTTCCCCACCTCACCCTGTCCCCAAGCTCTTCCGTCCTCCCGGCAAAGCGCCAAGGTGTCCTATTGCCACCGCTTTTAACCCCATCGCTATTGAGCCTGTGCTCCAGAGGACACGCCCAGGTAGTCCTAACACTAAGGAGACCCCGTCCTTCTCCCCCCGTTGCCAGCAAACCCTCCCCAGAAGTCCTAGCAACCTGGAGGTCTCACAGCTCCTGCCCGTAAAGTCTCCTTAGGATGGAAAGACCCCCCCCAAAATCTCCAAAAAATCCCCAAGGGGAGTGGGGCAAGCCACGGCGACAACTCCTCCCGTCCACCTTAGAAGGACCTTTGAGGTGCTGGTGCCTCTCCATTGACCACAACGGGAGCATACGGGTGGGCTGAGACTTTAACTCCGCGGAGTCCTGACAGCAGGACAAAGAATTGCCTTTGCTAGCCAAAATACGTTAGTCCCCTCCCCGCTACGAGGCAGTTGCCACCCTCATCTAACCATGCCCCGGGGCTAATGCAGGAGGCTGATGCTCCCCAAGAGCACCCAGAAGGTACGTGAGCGAGCACCGTTGATAAAACCTCTTGGAGGAGCAGGAATAACAGGCAGAATAGGGCAAAAGTGGATTTAAACCTTGCTGGAACTCTGCACGGGGATCACCGGCACCTTGTTTTGCTCAGACAGAGCAATGCCGAGGCCCCAGCAGCTCTGGGACACAGCAGGAACATAAGGGAGGTGCAACCAAAAACGTGAGAGAGCTGCAACCAAGATGCAAGGGAGGTGCAACCAAACCGCGAAGGGAGCGCAACCAAGATGCAAGGGAGGTGCAACCAAAACACGAGCGAGGTGCAAAGCACAGCCGCTTACCCACAGGCTCCTGGCTGCTTCAGTGTTTCTCCTGCCTCTCCCCGAAGCGCATGGACGCGGCGGCACAGCGGGAGCGAGTGCAAGGTGGCTCCCAGTGCCTCCCCTTTTTATAGCCAGAGAGAGTTTATCTCAGATTTCCAGAGAACTCCTCGCAAGCATCTCCCTGACACCAGCGGGGGCAGAGTTTTGGCTCCAACATGCGAGTCCTGATTTTGACGGCCAAGCGCAAGGGTAGAATCCAAGGGGGAAACTGGTGGAAGGAGATAGGGCAGGAGTTTGGACCTCGCGCGGTCCGATTGTGAAACAGCGCAGGCTTCCTGAGAACTTCAGGGCAACGTGACCGCACCAGGACAGGACATGTTGCAGCTGGTGTTGTGCATGTGCGACCTTCCCGGCGGAGAGGAGAACTTGCTTTCGGTGGTGGTCCTTCAGCAGCGGCCTCCAGGGGGACAAAGGCCTCTTGCTTTCTGCAGAAAAATCACCACGGGGAATTCCTGGGAAATGTTAGCCCCACAGCTGGAGCGGCGTCTTTGCCAAATCTTTATCTTGGATGCAAAAATCCTCGGCGGGAGCCAACTTATCTGTTGAGTTGGCTGCACGGAAAGAGCTGGAGCTACCTCCGATTCCTGGCCCGCGGCGTTGCCTCTTCGGTGACCCCAGCGGCGCGGACCTACGGCCCCCTTTGCAGGCAGAAAGTTGGCGGATGGAGGCTTG